CGAGCGCGGACTGAGAGGCAGACCACGCGAAAACAGACGAAGTCCAAGAGGACTCGTCACTCCCTATGCCTTCCTTAACAAGGCCTAGGGCCGGCTGATCCCTGACGACCTTGGCCAAGTGGAATGGACTCAGAACTCTCCCGCCTCCGGGAGAGTCCCACGCCACACGCACTGGGGGAAGGTCGTCACCACCCTCTGCCTCTCGCTCGACGGTCTCCAACGACACCGAACTAATCGATTCGACAGAGACCCAGTCGAGCCCACGGTCCTCGAACGTCTCATCGGAGCCGTCCGAGGAACCCCCTCCCTCCGGCGCCACCGCATTCTTCCGTCGGAACCTCCGGCGAAACCACTCCAACATCTTCATTCTGAAAAAAAGAAAATTTGCAATTAGTCGATTAAAACAAAAGCTTAAATTAATGTCTAAATTCTTGCGAGAAAAGCAAAATGCTCACCGCAGCTGCCTTTTTAAATCTAAAAGATTCGAATCGGACCATCGAACGATGTGCCGAGATGTCTTCTGGGGCCGATTAACGCAGAAAAAGTTCAAGATTATACTCACGACGAATCGGAATTCGGATAGCAACCGGAAATTGCTAGAACGTTCCAACTGTATTTGCAGTAGAGACGACCGACCCGGAACGAAGAAACTCTCTTACGTGTAATTTGTATTTGTACGACAGTAAATTAAAGACACGCCGCACGTAGCCATGAGGAAAAGGCATTCGAGCCCGAGTCGTAACAAGTGTTTCGTTCTAGAGCAATTTACCCTAACGTGTACGTCACATAAACGCAACGACGGCATTTAAAAGAGTTTCGTGCAAAGAAATTGCGAACGAGTCGACCGAAACACAAGACAAACGTAGGAAGAAGTGAAACGTGCCCACAGCCCAACTCGCCATTCGGGACACGAACGTTTAAGTGGCACAAAGCATTGTGCCACTTAAATGTTACGTAAGTGTGGAAGATCGACTGCACTCAGACCACCTTGTGAAAAGAGACAAAGAGCCTAAGGAAAAGAATTCTTTGTGTCCAGCCTGTATAGATAACTGTTAAGTGTATTAGTATTAGATGTGTTTGCAGACAATTTAATTCTGGCAAAATAAGCCATTGAAAAGCGTTGTAACTAATAAATAAATTGCACGGAGAAGTCGGAGGTCAAAGGGCGAAGTTTTTGACCTGTCGAACGAACATCGCATGCTTCAGAATACGGTCTCCGTCCATCAATGTTACCAGAGTATATTTTAGTTAAAATTACGATGGAATTCGTATTTAAAGTTAGTATTAAGTAATTTTTAATTGAATTTCTATAAATAATCCTTATTCTTTTACCGTGTTTATAAAATATAAATGAAATAATTACGAGAATAAGCCAATGAGCAAATACTTAATCCGTTTTCGGCGCTTCGGTCGCTCGTTTAAAAGTCCTAATTCACAAGCGCGACGGCAGATTTAAACGCCGATGTCGTCTCCGAAAGTTGGACTAAACGAAACGAAAATAAAATCTTACAGCTAGATAAATTCTAGTTAAAAACTTACTTTGTATAACGTCCGCGTCCACAAGTCTTCTTAAAACCACGTTCCGGTAGAAAAGAACACTGAAGAAGGCAAAAAACACAGCGAAAACAGGAGCGAAGAGCGCACACGTCCTCACAGCAAGCGAAAAACGTGCAAAGTGACGCAAAATCGTGTTGCAACAATAGAAACAGCAATTGTTGCCGTTTCTATGGAGATTAGAAAAGCGCGTAACGAATTCCAATGCGATTGACGTCATGGATTCTTTTTGAATTTTAAGGCTAAATATCTGCATTTTTTACGTTTCTATCCCCCGAATGACGACGGATTGGGATCGAGAGACTCCCTATCACCCTCTGTCTTCGGTTTCCACTCTCCACAAGGGGTTGTAAGCGAGATTTTCTATAATCGAACGTCGCCACCCCCAAAACTAGAACAAATCATTCCTCTGGTTCGTCCAGTATTTTCGGACCAAGTTTCCGATTGACCGACAGTGCAATTTTTACTGAATTTCGTAACATTTCGTTTATCCGACGCCATTTTAAGAGCGCTTACCTGACGTCATCGAACGTTGGTTATATTAAATATGCGTGTTATGGTTTAGTTACGTAAACGTTAATTAGTATATTAAATAAGCAAATTTTATGAATTCACCTGACCGATAGAAAATATCGTGTATGTATTTTACACGAAACAATCAAATATAGATCTTTCTATATTGAAACTGAGTAAAAGATCGTTCGTTTCAAGAAATGTAACTGTTTTTTTTTTATAAAAGAATCGATCAAAACTAACGAGTTGCGTAACTTTCTCGGCTGTTGTGAGATTTTATTTAGAAAATAACTTTTATACTTTTAATTAAATTATAATAAATAAAATTGTGTGTGGCGCCATCTGTTATGAAATTTTGTTATATAATTTGATATTTTTAATTATTAAAAAATTGCAAAAGGTTTAATTTTAAGGGTATGAAAAAAAAATTATAAATGCTAATGTGAGATGCAGAAGGGAGGAAAATACATTTTTAGAAATTAGCGAGAAAAAGGACTATTTAAATTCCCTTTCAAAAATAATATTTTAAGTTATAAATCTACTCGCGATTCACATAATGGGGCGAGGGAGGCCAAATATCTAGCACGCAGGCGGCTAACAGCCTGGAACCGGTCCTGGATAGAATCATTGGAAGCGTTATACGATATTTTGGTGTTTGGCATCCACTAGCTAAACCGCGAGGTTGGTGCTCTGTAAAGCGTATGCACGAATGCGTATAATCTGGCTGTTTGGAAGCTGTCCCGTATTCGACAATACAGCGCTTCCATTTCGCCACTGATATTCGAATATACAACAGCAATCTTGTCATTTGTTTTACATGTAGTATAGAAATTTGTAATAAGATACATAATGTGGTTATAATAAAATATTAATTTTAATTATATGAAAATAATCGCACAATATATCTTTATATTTTAGAAAATACATGGGAAGCGGCGTTTCCACCGCTTACAAGGACGGCATGCCACTGGGTAGAGCATTTGGGTCCACTTCACGTGGCCTTCAGTTGCTTTGTGATAGGCTTTTGTAAGGCGGTAAATTTGGTTAGTGCCTTCTGGCGTGTCCAATTGAGCATATAGCTGCTGGTAGTGGCGATCTTTTGCTGTGGTCACTGCTTGTTTTGCTATTGACTTCGTGATTTTGTAGTATTGGAGATCAGTATCAAGCTGTGTACTCCTCCAAGCCTTGAAGACGGACTTTTTTGCTTTGATAGCTGCCTAAACCTCCTCGTTCCACCACCATGTCTGTTTGTCAATAAATTTACGTCCTGGTTTTCCTAAAATAACTTCTGCAGCACCCTGAATCTGCTCTACTATTTCACTCCAGAGTGCATCCACTGGCTGGTCATGATCCACAACAAAACTGGCCAACTTGGCAATCAATTGTTTGTGTTCACATTTGTTCAATTTTCACCACTTGATCCGTTCGGGTCCGGTTATTTGGACTTACACTTTTCGAGGCTGGGTGACTCAAAAGTCCAGAATGAGTGGGCGATGTTGGGGGCCAATGTTTCAGATGGGATCACTTTGCTATTTATTGCGAGCTTCAGATCACAGCGTTTGATCAGCCAGTAAACGATTTGAGTTGCGTGGTCTTCACTAATGTAAGTGGCTAGATGTGTAAGCCAATTTTTTGAAAAATGTGTTGGCAACAGCAAAGTCATACGCTTCAGCGCAATCCAGGATGCGGCAGCTGTCCTCATTTCGTTCGCCAAGTCCGTGACCAACATGGCATTGTGCATATTTTTGCCCAGAGGACCCCAAATACACACTTAGGCCACCCCCGATTAGGACATAATCTTCTGAAGCAAATGTCTGGAGATGCCATCAAGTCTAACTCGGAAATCATCTTTCTCTGCATCAGAGCATCCAGTTTGTGGAGCATAACATGAGATGACATGCATGGCAATCGAGTCATATCCGATCGTAATAGATATTATACGATCAGAGACTCGACTGACAGCAGTGACACTGATCCCCGGAATCTCTGGTTGACTGCTATTGCGACTCCTTTACGTTTTGTACTTTGGTCATAATAGATTAATTTGTATCCTTCGCCAATATTCTTTGATTTGGAGCCTTTCCATTTTGTTTCCTGCAGGCAGGCTATAACGACATGACGGTTCTTCAGGGTATCGACCAGTTCTCGACTTCGGCCGATCATTGTTCCGATATTGAGTGTGGCGAATCGAAGAGGAAGAGGTTGTTGGACTAGCTTCTTTATCCTGCTCCATCCTTGAGCAGGTAGCCTTTGTTAATTTCTCGTGTCGTCGAGGCGTCGGCGGTACGCGTCGCCTACGGGATACGCCTAGCCTTATTTCGAAATCCGTTTAGTAGCATGCCATGAGATGCGACGAAAAATACTCCAACCGGCTTATCGCGGAGTATATATGTCGTTGGAGACCAGAGCCACCGTTAGCCAAGGTTTTCAGCCCTTGTTACCAGTAGGCACCACGAGGAGATCGATAGTTGGATTTTGCCCACCATAAAGTAGCTTCCTAATTGGCCGATTTACCTCTACACATTAAAGAACGGCCGTCATTACTCTACTTAACAGGGAATCTACTACCCATTAATTCGCCACTAAAAATTCTTACCCACCACAGTTTCCGCTAAATTTCGATATTCCCACTAGATCTTGTGGGATTTCCACTAAACTACCACTCTAGGTTACACGCGCTTCTTACTCTTTCCAGTTTAAGAACGTTCCTGAGTCCACATACCTGCAACAGGCCATACGAATAGGAGCTCGTGTCAGCAAGACAGACCAATATACAGGATTGTCCAGAAGTCTTGTATAGACATAAAATTACCATTATTTTTCGAACAGATTATTATTAACGAAAATATTTCGTATTGTTAATATATATTTATAAAAAATATATAATATAAATTCTTTTTAATTAATTATTTTGCCACCAGGTAGAGATCATCCGCATTTTGAAATCACAATGAGGATAAATCAGAGGAAGTAGTAGTAGTAGTCGTTTGAGGCTTTGTTCGGTAAGGTTGTGTGTTGAGATATTTCAACATATATTTTATCATTACTTAAACCAGGTGATATATAAAGTAATTTTCCGTTTTTAGGATCATGTTGATGTAATTTATCTTCAAGTTTGGAGAAATGACAGACGGCAAAGAAGAAAATGATTGCAAGTGTGAAGAAGAGTAAGTTTTAAATAACAATTTTTACTTTAACTTTTATGTCGTAGTTATTATAACTACACAATATTGATAATTTTATCACGATATTTTCTCTTTACGCATTGTTCTAAATTATATTTAAATATAAAAAAGAATGAAAGAGAGTCACCTAATGTTGTTTTATGGAAAATTAAGTTTGGATATTTTCCATGAAATTTATTTAAAATGTAAGTTGATTTAATAAATATATTACTGTTATCTGAGTAATCTTTGCCACTTTGTTTTCAACTAATTACATAAACAATTAAATGAACTGTTTTCACTTCTTAATATGCTACACACCATAAATATTTTAATGTATTTTATTAAGCGTATGCTTACAAAATTACTTTTAAATTGAAATTTGCCGTATGAGAATAAATAGGATTGTACGGAACAAATGTAAGATTTACGTCCCGATTAATATAGAAACTCTTATTTAAAATTTTTAAATTAGAAAGTTATTCATCTGTTTAATGCAGTGGCTCCCAAACTGTGCTACAGAACTCAAGGGTTTAGCCAAACTAGTCAGGGACATCATAATCAGGTTAGCCATTATTTTAATTATTAGTAATGCACTGACATTGTTTATGAAGTGCATTTTTTGTATTCCTCTCTGCATTGTATATCTTGAGATCTATCTCACTAGAACTTTTTAAATAAATACAAATGTTTTTTTTTAGAATCAAGTTATTCTTTCTTTGTTAATAGAAAAAAAGACAGATAAACAGTTTCTACCATGCATTTTTACTTTTGTCTCATGAGTTAAAATATATAGTCAATGCATATGTGGCATATGAAAATAACTGTACTATATACATTCTATATAACATAATATTTATTCTTTATCTAAGGACTTATTTCCTTTATTTGTTTATATTATTTAATTATAATACCAATATACCAATTACTCTTGTATATAAAGAGTAGTACTGGCCTGGGTTTACTCTGTAGGAATTAAAAACATACATATGTATGCATATGGCATAATTCTCTAATATATACAGTATACAAGAAATCCTCATTAGTTCAAAATTCAAGGAACAAAATTATCATGACTTCAAATTATTGAGTTTCGAATTATCCAAAATTTACATATTTCTGTACAATATGCCAAATACCATGCAACTGATGTAATTTATTAAGGAAATGGAATACGGATACATATACAGAATAGTATTTTTGTTTGTTAATAAGAATAATAATAATAAACTGCAGGTAAATAGCACATGTCCAGTGAGAACCCCACATGTTGCCGGATAAATTTAGTAAAAAGTAAAGCATAATTACTTGAAATGCACCTCAAATTATTTTTAAAGTGGTTCAAAAAGTAGTAAATCCTCCAAATGTAGTAGCCTAGACCCTACAAATATCTCAATTTGCTACTTGTAGCCCAATCTCACAATCATGAAAACCAGCCATAATTTACGAGATAAGAGAGAGAAAGGGTAGTCCAAGGATAATGTGACACCCAAAAGTGTGTTACTGTAAAAGCAGAGCCGTATTGATCACATTAGAGTTGTTGTTGGTCTATTTTTGTTTTTTACTATGAAAGCACTTTAACCTAAATGAACAAGTGCATATCATAGTTTAGACAAGTGCATATCATAGTTTAGACAGAGTTTTCATTTCAAATTTTGAAGTAGCTGTATTTCAAACTAGCCAAATTTCATAATTTTATAGAGGATATCCTGACCAGGGATATAGAGATTTGTAAATCTCTATATCCCTGGTCAGGACAAAACTACAGTTATGAACTAACAGGATTTCGAACTATCTGAGTTTGAATTAATGAGGATTTCCTGTTTATATATTGGGGAGTTGTGCCAAATGGCAACAAAGGAGCTGCAAGTCACAAAAGTTTGGGAACAACTGGATTAGTTCAAACATGAATAACTATTTTTAAATGCATAATGTTTTTAATCATCTATGAAAATAGTAACTTCTGTATTCATGCTTAACCTTTCAACAGTAGAATAGTCAGGTATGGTACTACCCCTGAGTAGTGGAGAATAAACACATGGTAAAATTTTAGAGTATTTTACCATGCGTTTTTTCTCATTACTGTTTCGGAAAAAGATTTTGTAAACAGTTATATCTAGTAAACAAAAGTCTGTTTTTATTGTTACATAATTCATTTTTTATGTGAATTTTTTTTCGTGGTAGTTTTAGGCTAGTTTTTGGCAATACCCCCCAAAAGAATTTGACGCATATATTCACTTCTCACCACTGCCACACAATCACCCTTGACGAATATATTCGTCGCTCACTGCTGAGTGGTTAAAAGTTCTGTCATAACTTACTCATAACCAAACTTGTTTATTTACTCCATCCTTTAGACTTTCCATTTCCATCAGATCATTTTTCAACTGGTCTATTCAGAATATAGACTGTGTGGAACAATCTCTACATCACAGGTTCTCAAACTTATTTCAATTACCGCCCACTTTGAGATTAAAAAAAATCTAGTGTCCCCATATTTTTTAACTTACGTAACAGATGGTAATGTAAAAAGGTAAGTTAAAAACAGTTATTGCAAATATAATGTTTAAACGTGCATTATTATATGGATAGGATAGATAGTGTGTGACCTATATCCTATTTCTGAGATCAAAGAATGTTTCAATGAGAAGAAATAAAACTCATATTTAATCACTGAGCCTTCTACTGCCCCCTGAAAGCCTCCAGCACCCACAAGGGGGCATTATCGCCCACTTTGAGAAAGGATGCTCTACATGAAGATTTTCTACATTTTAAACACATTTGTAAACTGTTACTTTATAATATATAATCATTCATTTTTTATTTATATTTTTTTATCATGTATTTTGATTGTTATCCTTTTTTTATTTGTATTTTAAACTTTTCTTCTGTGTGTTATTTTTGGGGATGATATCAATTGTCTTATGACATTTCCAGTTTGTTTATGAAATAAATAAATAAATAAATTTTAAGCAAAGAAAAAGAAAAGGCTTAAACATTACATACCATGCATACAATCTTCCAGTAAATATATGTATTTGAATTAAATATAAAATGGAATGTTTTCAGTCTGTTTTCGGGGCCTATATCAAGGATCTCAGTTTTTCCTTTAATTTTTAAAATTGAATTTAGTTTTTGAGGAAAAACTGAAATTTTTAATACAATGTGGACTTGACCAAGTTTTTCCAATGTCAATTTAACAGATAACACATACATGTTAAATATTCAAAAATGAGTTGACATCAAAAAGAAAAGGCTCTCTGTAAACAGGTTGCCTCCTATTGAAGAAAGTTCTGCAGTTTGTGTTTCAGTCCCAGAAGTAGATAAAGGTAGAGGGGCTTACAATGTTTTAGCTGTTTTAATAAATATGACAAATGATTTATTTTATCAACTGGGAATGAACAATGTGTTCTGAAATAGCTATACTCAAGATTGCAGTTCGTAGTGTGTAAAAAAACACTTTTAATGCTAATTGGTGTATTCAAAGAGAAAGAAGTCTCAAGTCATCAGCAGCTGGTACTTGACAAGGATTTGTGGAGTGCATGTGCAAAAATGGTTGGCAGAACCTAAAGTGCTTTTGTCTGAAAAGAATAGTTCCTTGTAATTCAAAATGCCATTATAGTGTTGCATGCTGTAATAAATAAATCAGACAGAATAATGAATAAAATTAATGATACAATTAGTGTTGTTTCATATTCTACTTTTACAGATATGCAAAATGAAATGTTATGTTATTATTATATGGTATAAACTTTTCCTACTTACAAGTATTTTATGAAATACCTAGGAAAGTTAAACTTTTTATTTTATAGATTGTCTAATACATCTAGGCAATCTATACAATGCCTGAATTTCGTACTTTGCCAATAAGATGCTATTTTTTTCTCTCTTAGTATGTTAGCAGGTTATGAATGGGTTAATATATTACATGGAACATTTTTTATGTAAATTACTGACATATTAAAGCATATTTCAATTTTTTTTTTTCTGGAATATTTTTACATTTTATAAAACGTACTTCTATGCATATTTTCTAGTTTTTTTTAAGATTGCATGTTTTAGGGTTTACTTGATAACATTTAATTAATTAATAAATAACACTATAATTAGGGAAATTTCAGTTTTATTGATTTGACATTAAAAGGACATGTTAAAACAATTGGATAATAAATCTTCCAAGATAAATAATAATAATATATTTGATAATTTACTGATATATAGTTATCTGTTATTTGTCTGCTTTTTTTTCAGTACTGCCTTTAATGATAGAAGTGTATAATTGAAGTAAAAAACTGCCGGAAAATTCAAGGATTATAGTCTGATCAAAAAATGATTGAAAGAATTCAGATTTAACATTTAATTGGTTAAGATTGCTAATAATAATAGTACAATTGTGTGTTTTCAGTCACACATTGAGTCTAATTGCAAAACACAGCTTAAAAAATCACTAGTTACCTAAGTTAATGAAAACTATAAATGAAATTTTGATTACAATTAATAGTTTTGTAAGTGTATTTTAACATGTTTTCATACTGATAACAATATTCATAATTACGATAAACAGATTGAGTATCATTTCAATACAATAGAATCTTATTTTTCTAAAACTTTAGAATTTTGAATGTATAACAATTGAAATTTAATTTTAATGTAAGTTTTTAATGTGTGTGTGTATATATATATATAGATACATATACATATCAGGCTTCAGGATGTTGATATATGTCTTGATACTAATCCAAATGGTGCCTAACATCTATCTACCAACAGTACTAATTATAGCATAATTATAGCCTGATTAATTATGGTGATAATTTGGATTACTTTCTAATGATTCCTGTTTATAAAATATTGTATTTTTCATTATAAACTAAATTTATTTTGAAATATTTGAGTTAACTGTTAAGAAATTTTAATTTATTTGTAAATCTGTAAAAGAAATAATTGCTGCACGATATGAAAGAATTAATTTGTTGATAAAGATAAAAATAGAGAGAGAGAAA